ATAGATAGATAGATAGATAGATAGATAGATAGATAGATAGATAGATAGATTGATGATAGACAGACAGACAGACAGACAGACAGACAGACAGACAGATGGGAGAGAGAGAAAGAGAGAGAGAGAATATTTCAAAATGTAGTATAGACAGCTATAGTATATGGACTATACAGTGTGTGCATTTGCAGCGTCAAACATTTGTGTGTGTGTGTGTGTGTGTGTATTCCAGTCTATATAATATTTAGAGAGTGTGACTCTGATCAGGTTATGTAAAAATACAGAAAAAAACCTTTCATCTCTGGTGAAGTGATCTATATGACAGCTGAATGTAAGAGATGGGTAAGTTGATCCTGAGAATGGGGTGAAATGCATCATCAGTCTAGATTTTCTATGCCCCCAAAAAAGACCTAAGTTCAGCTCCACTTGAAATTCTTATCTGATGCCAATTTGTCTGTTTAACCATCAATAGATCAGATTCTTTTATATAGGTTGTATGGAATAAACTCCCAGTGTTTTTGGAACTCTAGCCTGTCTCCTGGTTTCATGCACCTGACACTGATGCTGTTAATAGCCTGTACTATAAAAGGTTTGCTAATTTTTATGGTTCTATAGTTTTCTGCAACAGACAAACGTTGAGGAAGCTATCTCCCATAAAGCCTTTTCATACACCTTTCTAACATATGCTTTGAGTACAGATATGTAAGATACTTGATGGCCAAAAAAAATCTAGTCACACAGCTGTAAGGCATCATTTAGACCTATCAAGTCCAACCCCCATGTTCACTGCAGGAATCCCAATTGAAGTATCGCAGACTTATTAAATAAATGTCAGAAAGTAACTGATGCATTGGAATAAAATTTAAAAGGAGAAAAATAATGACAAGTTCTCCATTTTCAAATAATGGTATAGTATTATATCATGCTCTGCCTGCAAGACTTCCTTGCCTTATTAAATCTCATTATAATTACCTGAAGCATAACAATTTCTATAATGTTTAAAACCAACTAACATTCCACTATGCTATTGTAGGAACAATATGTTCATGATGCATGTGTCTCTTTCTCTATTTCTATTTCTTTCACTATCTCTACCTCTGTATTAGCTCTATTTCCATTTCCATCACTCTCTAGCATCTGACTCTCTATCTCTGTCATCACTATCCGTCTCTCTAATCTATATAATTGCATTATTTTGCTACAAATTTAAAAAAAAAAAAAGCAAAAGACATGCTGCCAAAATCTTTGTTTATATATTCATTAATAGAATAAGAATCCTTACCCACCATCCACTCTGCCAATTGATCTCACAGACCTCAAAAAACAGAATAAAATTATTCACACATTTCGAGGCCTTACTAGAGAATAGCATCACTTTTATTTCTTTATTTTTATCTTTTGTATTGCTGTTACTGGAAATATCAGCTGATTTCCCCCCCTCTCTTAATGACCTGAAATTGTGAGGAAAATATTTGGGAACATACAACAAGGGATGAATGCATAGGATGAGGTGGCTTCAGTCATGTGTGAGTGTATCTTCAGATCCTCCATTCTCTGTCTTACTACTCTGTCCCCTCTAAGGACTCCCAGGAAATCTGTTCTGATAATTCTACCACCAACCACTTCAGAACAATTTCTGCCTGCCATGGTTTACTTAGGAGAGGACAAGCAACAATCTTCCTTCAGTAGCTTGACTGTCATAGGGTTGCCAGGTCTGCTTCCAAAAAATAGCAGACAAGTGGGGGGGGGGGTTAAGTAGTAAAAAAATAAAAATAAAATTTACAATTAAATTATATATTTTCTTACAAACATTTTAACACGTATTAAAATAATCACTTCAAAACTTGATTTAAAATTCAAAACATCAAATATATTATAATAATATGTAAAATATTAAATTACATTTTACTTTGCTGTCGTGTGTATTTTTTATTTGACTGCGCAGCTTTGATCAATTCTTTGTGTTTAAGGAATAATTCTTTAATTTCAGTACAATGTTGAGAAATATTAAAAAATATACAAAGTTCACTTCGAACTGATGGTAGAAGCAGTCGGTTACGTTCGTCAGTCCACAAATTTCCCATGACGCTGAAAATTCATTCAACGTTTGTATTTGATACCAGAATTGATGCACAATACTGGAATAGTTTCAGTAAACTCGGAGCTGGCTCTTTCTTGAAAAAGTACGTCCACTTATCAAGGGATGAATCGCCCTGCAGATGAACATAAACTTCTTCTAAGGCAGAAATTTCATCGAAGAGAGTGTTGGGTGGATGTTCTTCTCGCCATGGTGATAATAACCAGATGTTCGTCATTTCTTCTAAAGTTGGAGGATTATTGTGAGCAATTAGATTGAAACAATTTAGCATCTCATATACTGAATCGGTGAAATTATACCACTTTTCTAGGTATGCAATGGCTCTTTGATACACATTGATGGCTTCTTTCTTGAACTTTTGCATGGCATTCTCAGGCAAATGTTTTTTACGTAAGGCAAATAAAACTTTCATTCCAAAAAACTGCTCATCGTATTTTTTTTGCAAAGAATCACGCAGCTTACACATGATAATGTGAAGATCACATGCAAGAATTTTCTTGCTTTCCAGCTTCAGTAGGGTGTCTTGCATTATTGACATGAAGAAGTGCGTGAAATATAAATACAATTCTGAAATTGTTGGTTCATCGTCCTTTGCGAGTTCATTTTCCTGATCCGAAATAAGGTTCCAGATAACCTTATGGCACTCATCAAATCCAAGAGAAATAAAATACGATTTTAGAGGTATCCAGTTTAAAAGAAGCCTTTCGACTGCTTTAAACAAACTTAACCAACGTGTTGGAACATGGCGCAAAACTTCATGGAATTCTGACTCGCAAAACTCAAAAAATGATTTTAACTCTTCTCGTTTCTTCGCAGAATTCGAAAATTTGGCAAAAACCTTCAGCACTACATTTTTGATATCAAAAGATAACTGCTTTAATGCATTTTTTTGCGCTGTTGTGTAAAATGTGATTATTGCAATGAGCAGCTACAATATTGTCATTTTCCAGCAATAATTTTTGGTAAACAGATTTGTTCACTCCATAATTGACCGATGCATTATCTGCTGAGTAAGCTGAAACATTATTTATTTCCAATTCGTTATCACTAAGAACTCGAAACAGCTGATTTTTTATTGATGTAGAATCTTCGAAAGAATCCTCATAAAAGTCTAAAATTTTCACACACAGTCCTTCACAAGTAAAATATTGTGCAACAACGGGATACATTTTGTGATTTCCCTTGTTTGATGCATCAGTGGAGAAAGAAAACGGAATTCCAGTTTTAAGATCATTGAGAACCAACTCAATAGAAAAAGGATACAAAACCTCATTGACAATAGCTGATGATTTGGTTCTTCCACAAGACATCTTTTTTACAATTTCTGAATCATCAAAAATTTGCTTCATTAACTTAATACTGTAATCTTGAGCCAGGAAAGAAATATGGTGTTTGATCCCATGGTAAGTTTCAGCCATTTCAGCTACAGTCACTTTCTCACTGAAAGAGGAGTCTTTAACAATGAAAAACGAATTGATTCGCTTGTTGCTGGAAGCTATTTTCTCCTTATCTAAATGATTTTTTGTGCTTGCATGCTGTGTGACAGCTTTTATACCATTATATTCAATTGTGAACGATTTCTGACACAATTTACAGTAGGCCGTCGTATTTGTTCTGTCAGTTTCGTTGTTGGTAATCCATGCAAAAGTAGCTTCCCAGTCTTTGGTGTATTTGCACACTCCTCTCTTTCATTTTAAAGAATTCGAAATCTCGCCGCTGTCACTCTTATCACTCGACGCCATTTTAGGTCAGTCAACACAAGCTACAATACATTTTAAAAATGTGAACTGTACATAATTTTATAATATATTTTTATTTTAATCTCATCATTAATTTTTTCGGAGAATCGAGTTCAATGGATATTCGATCTTTGTCTCATTCTAACTTATGAAAAAAAAGACAAAACACGATTCTCCTATCCTTATTCTCTTAGACTGTACAGCTTTAGATTATGTACCATTTCATCATAAAGCTTTTGAATAAAAAAAATGTCCACTATTTTGTGAAAAAAAATAGTGAACATAATGTGAAAAAAGTGGATTGTCCGCTCAAATAGTGGATACCTGGCAAAGGTATTGACTGAAATATGTGCTATAAAGGCCTTTATCAGAATTTTAAAAGGTTGAAAGGAATGAAAAGCAGAAGAAATGAAACAAGACGAACAACTGTTCCCAAATTGTTTGATAAATAATTTCTGTCCCTAGAAGTTGGGATCACCTGGTGTCTAACTCTCCATCTTTATTTGGCTGCCATTATGTACATAAAAAGAATAAGGCTGAAATTTTCAAAGGCCACTTTTTTTGGAATTGTCCATGCTAATTGTGTGCAGTACGGCTCAGTGGTGGGATTCAAAATTTTTTACTACCGGTTCTGTGGACATGGCTTGGTGGGCATGGCAGGGGAAGGATACTGTAAAATCTCCATTCCCACCCCACTCCAGGGGAAGGATACTGTAAAATCTCCATTCCCTCCCCACTCCAGGGGAAGGTTACTGCAAAATCCCCATTTCCTCTCAATCAGCTGGGATTTAGGAGGTGAGAATAGATGGGGGAGGGGCCAGTCAAAGGTGGTATTTACCAGTTCTCCGAGCTACTCAAAATTTCCACTACCGGTTCTCCAAAACTGTTCAGAATCTGCTGAATACCACCTCTGGTACGGCTTCCAATGGCATTGGAAAATTCTGTGATTTAAATATTTAATATACAGGTAAATGTAAATTCTTGCCTCTTTGTAGATCTTTCTCCCTGTTTTTACTTGTCTTTTGTCCTATTTTGCGAATTAATTTTTTCTGAGGCTTGATGATCATTAATTTTAAAAGAATACATTAAGTTATGTTTTTACTAGCTGAACTGAGGAGTGTGTACACTTGCTCTAGTCTCGGTAAAAGGCAGGGGTGGTATTCACTTACCTTTGCAACCGCTTCACAAATTGGCATGCGCACAGGGTCAAAAACGGAACATGATGACATCCAGATGGGTGGGCGGAGCCTCCCACTGCCGCTACTATCGGATCGCACAATCCGGATAGAGCCAGCTGAATTTCACCACTGGTATAAGGACTGGGCTCTGTACAAACTAAAGTAGAAATCACCCAAAAATATTTTTTTCAACACAATCTGTCAGCTGCTTCCTTAGGCCCAAATTCTCACACAATATTCACACATCCACACATGCTCACACTCACACAAAAGGAGAGAAAACAGTCTCACAACTCACATTACAATCCATGAACTAAACAACCACAAACCTTTAACAAAATGAAATTACATTAAATCCATACTTTATCTAGCTCCACCAGTTTGTAGTTTGCTCTATAATTCCCCAGCCTCCAAACTTGATTTCTGTGTGTCGGGATTTTTTTTTAAAGTCAGTCTTGAGTAGGGACACCATATATCTGAACAGGCAAGACATGTAAAATTGGAAAGGAGGACATACTATTTAACTTCCTTGGACTCTGAAACAAAAATTATAGCCAAAAATGCAAAAATGTACTTAGGCTGGCATGTATGTAAAATTATTTTTCCAGCCTCAGAAAGATTGGCTTTTTCAATTGCAATATTTTTCCAACAAATCTTTATTTTTAGGAACTTATGCTACAATAATATAAAAACAACAGTGACATACTTTTTGAATTTCACCATTGAAATGTAGGACAAATCATGTACAGAACTGAAGGAGCTGGATTGAAGTCTATTGCTAGACCTAGAAATAAATTAAATTTAGGTTGTTGAGTCTGTTAACTGACAAGAAAAAGAAAGAAACTGACAATTTACAAGGTCACAATACATGAATCTTACAGTGTTTACTATTATGAAAACAGTCTCTACCAGAAAAAGAAGACACACACACACAAAAAATCCCCCAACCCCACACAATATTAGATTTTAAAGCTATGTTTGCTGGATGAGGGATACAATAACAATAAGAAGGGCATGTCATCCTTGGGCAGATATCTCCTAATCTTAGTCTTGGAGAAAAGCGGTGATAGGAAGAAAGACAAAAGGCATAATGGAGAGTTCTCCACTCTGTGAAAGAGGTCATCTTTATAGGCTCTTCAATGTTAAGTCATTGTGGCTTTGGATATTTCTGTCTACAGTATGTTCCCAGGATGGAAAAATCAGGTTTTCCTTTAATTCTTTGAGTGGCCAATCCTCTTGGAATTTCTTCCCATTCGCTTTTCAATTTTTTGTGCCTTTAAGTCAGTATTAACTCCTTGGTTTATATAATAATTTTTATTGAAGTTTAAAAATACAAAGTTAAAAAAAAAGTAGTACAAACTAAGAAAAATATAAAAAAAGAAAAGGCAAAAAGTGTGTCTGTGTGTGTGTGTGTGTGTGTGTGTGTGTGTGTGTGTGTGAGAGAGAGAGAGAGAGAGAGAGAGAGAGAGAGAGAGAGAGAGAGAGATGATTCCCCTTTATTAAGACAAATACAAACATTTTCAGTAATTTAACAACTTCTCCAATATTTCAAAGATCTCTTCATCTCATATGTCATCCTTTATCTTTATAAAGCCTCATCATTCAATCTTAATCAGCAAAAATCCATTAAGAGTTACCAGAAATAACAATATATATACATTAATTTAAACAAGCAAATCAATTTCATATTTATTTCCTGTACACAAAATTCGTCATTTTTTAAAAAAAATACAAATGAATTTTTTTCCGCATGCCTTATATCTATAAACAAATCTTTAAAACCTCATCATTCAAACTTAATCAAGAAAAATTCCTTTAGGAGTTACTAGAAACAACATATTAAATATTTAAAATAATGTTCCACAAATTCATTTCTTATCAACTTCTCTTCATCTCCTCTCAGTTTTAATACATAGCTTATCACTGTCTGACTATCTCTTTCACATGTCCTTTCTTTATTAATGTCCATATTGCAAGTCGCGAGACATACTTTGGCTGCTTCTGAAATGCTTGAATTCTTTCCCAGTTACTATCAATGTACAGTGATAGGATGGAAAGATCTCTGTCTCAGGTTTTGAAGAACTACCATCCTTCAACATAGGGCAGCTTCATAGGCTTAAATTCACAACTGGTTAAGGAGGTCAAATAGTGAAGGTTCAGGCTTAGAAATCAGGATACTGCGAGTTCTAGTCCCACCTTAGGCATCAAAAACCATTTGGGTGATCTGGGGCCAGCCACACTCTCTGAGCCCAATTCACCTCACCCACAGGACTGTTGTTGGGGAGAAGGAGAAGGAATAGTGGTAGGTTCATCCCTTGAGTTTTAAATGGGAAAAAAGGCAGAATAATTTTTTTTAAAAAAGACACTCTAGTCTCTACTTCACATATGAACAAAATAGTTCCTTTTCTCCTCTAGCTCTATATGACATTTTTGTCTCATCCAAATATACCTGCTTTTAGCCCTCATTAACCATTATTATTTATGGGCATTGTTAACAATACAGAATAGATGACAATTATTAGAGAGAAAGAAAAAGATAGATGTGTGCCCTACCCCTATTTTTCACAGCAATGTTGTGCCCTTCAAATAATTTGAGTTTTCAAGAAGATCCAGAGGCAATCAGTGGAAAATTCCATGTCAAATAAAAATTAATTTATCTTTTGATAAATTAAATTGAAGACAATGCAGTTTCTGTGGTTCAGTTTCAATAGAAAGCTTTGTATAGATTAATGGCTACATTATGTATATCTACATTATCTTGGTGCAGGAAGGCAAGAGATGAAGAATGCTTCAGCAATGGAAACTATGGCAAAAGTTTCAAGAAGGTAGACCATCATTATTTCAGAACTTAGAACTTTTACCAAGGTAGCAGGGTGAGCAATTTGTAAACTTGCACAATAGCTTGGAGAGTCTTAATGATCACAAGTGTACAACAACCTTATTTTATAGATCAATACAATCACTGACCTTTGCTATTGTACAGCAGCAATGAACAGGTAACTCACTTAGAAAAAAATGGGAGGAGAAAAACATGACTGAAAATGTCCCCTAAAGCAGGGGTCACCAACCTTTTGGACCTCAGGGACCACTAAATTCATAATTTTAAATCCCGCAGACCATTAATATGATCTGCCTAATGACCAGCTGGGTGGGTGTGGCTAGGTGGTCATTTGACTAGGTGGGTGTGGCCAATCAATGTCATTCATGTCAAGGGGTGCCTTGCCAGCCTCTACTTGCCCTCCCCTCCCAGCCACTCCTCACCTGCCCACCCGGGCTCTTTAGGAAGCAGTTGTTGGAGCTAAGCAGCCACCATGAGAAAGAGTTCAAATTGGATCTGGCTGAGAAGGAGGCTCAGCAGAAGCACCTCACTGAGGACTATGAGCACAGACTTTCCAAGCAGAGGGAAGACCTGCAGAGTGCAAGGCCAGGTACTGGCGCTTGGAGGCTCAGTGGGCTAAGATGGTCAGCCAGTTCCAGGCCATGATGCAATCCCACTGGAACAAGGCCCTCCAGCTCTTCACCACCAGCAGCACTTCCCTTCAACCTTCGCCCAAAGCTCCACACCAGGAGGCTGAAGCAGACCCCCAGTTGGAATTTCTCCCCCTCTCTGACCTGCACAAAAAGACCCCAATGGGGGTCTGTCCCAGGAGCTGTAGTTTGAAGACTATTATGGATCCTCTGTCTACAGCAGCAGTCACCAACTGGTGTCCACAAGAAAATTTTGGTGGTCTGCAGAAAAATTATTTGTATTTTTTATATTGCACTAAAAATACAAATAATTTTTCTGTGGACCACCAAAATTTTCTTGCAGATCACCAGGGGTCCACGGACCACTTGTATGAGAGCCATACATACAATGTATGGGAGAGTAGTGGCAATTATTAGAGAAAGTCTTTGTCCGAGGGAGGCCACTGTTCCTCAGATAGCCGGATGTGAGTCCCTTTTTGTGAAGTGGGGTCATGGGGTGCAGATGGGTTTGCTGATTACGTACCTGGCTCCCTGCCACATGGCAGCGACCCTGCCTGAGCTACTCGACGTGATTGCCGGGGTGGCGGTTGATACCCCCAGACTTATTGTTATGGGGGATTTCAACCTGCCATCCGTCGGTGAGACGTCAGAGGTGGCTCGGGAGTTCATGGCTTCCATGACGGCCATGGACCTGACCCAGTTAGTACAAGGCCCCACTCACACAGGAGGACACACTCTGGACTTGATTTTCATCTCTGGCCAGTGGCTGAATGATCTTGGTAGAGGGGACCTAGACATTAAACCCTTGTCATGGACAGATCATTTGCTCCTTCACTTAGACTTTCAAGCTGCTTTCCCCCGCCGCAGGGAGACGGAACCAACTAGATGGTTCCATCCCAGGCGCCTGATGGATTCCAAAAGGTTCCAGATGGAGCTTGGGCCATTTCCAGAGACTCCGGCACACGACTCGACTGAAGACCTGGTGGCCGCCTGGGATAGTGCGGCCACAGGGGCTTTGAACCGAGTCGTGCCTTTGCGGCCTCTGACCCGATGCCGATCTCAATTGGCTCCTTGGTTCTCCAAGGAGCTGAGAGAGATGAAGCGTCGGAAAAGACGCCTAGAGAATGTTTGGAGGACTAGTCAATCTGAATCTGACCGGACACAGGTGAGATCTTATATCAAGACCTACCTAGTGGCGATAAAAACGGCAAAATCTAACTATTTTTCCGCTCTTATCGCATCTGCAGAGAACCGCCCAGCCGCTCTGTTCATGGTAACCCACTCCCTCCTTCGGGTGGAAGTGCGGGAAGATCCCTTGCAGGGTCGAGCTGAGGATTTTGTGCAATTCCTGCATGATAAAGTTGCTCAGATTCGGGAAGGCTTGGACTCCGACTGGGTGAGTCCGGGGAGGGAGGCAGAGGTGAGTTTGGAGAATTCTATCTGGGAAGAGTTTGACCCTGTGGCTCCCGAGGATGTGGACAGGATTCTGGGGAGGCTTAGTGCTGCCACATGTTTATTGGACCCGTGTCCCTCCTGGTTGGTACTGGCCTCCCGGGAGGTTACACGAGGCTGGCTCCAGGGGATTATAAATGCTTCTTTGAGTGAGGGTGCCTTTCCCGCCGTCTTGAAAGAGGCGGTGGTGAGGCCCCTCCTCAAGAAGCCATCCCTGGACCCGGCTCTATTAGCAAATTACCGTCCGAACTCCAACCTTCGTTTTGTGGCGAAGGTTGTTGAGAGTGTGGTGGCACGACAGCTACCCCAGTACCTGGAGGAAGCGGTCTATCTGGACCCGTACCAGTCGGGCTTCAGGCAGGGGTACAGCACAGAATCGGCATTGGTCGCGTTGGTGGATGATCTCTGGAGGGCTCGGGACAGGGGTTGCTCCTCTGTCCTGGTCCTATTAGATCTCTCAGCAGCTTTTGATACCATCGACCATGGTATCCTGCTGCAGCGGTTGTGGGGGTTAGGAATTGGAGGCATCGTGTTACGGTGGTTCTCCTCCTACCTCTCTGACCGCTCGCAGTTTGCGTTGGCAGGGGGGCAGAGGTCGACCTCGAGGCGCCTCACTTGGGGAGTGCCACAGGGGTCAGTCCTCTCGCCCCTTCTGTTCAACATTTATGTGAAGCCGCTGGGTGAGATGATCCGTGGTTTTGGGGTGAGAGTCCACCAGTACGCTGATGACACACAGCTGTACATCTCCACCCCAAACCACCCCAATGATGTCCTTGATGTGATGTCCCGCTGCCTGGAGGCCGTGCGGGTCTGGATGGGGAAAAATAGGCTCAAGCTCAACCCTTCCAAGACTGAGTGGTTGTGGCTCCCGGCGTCCCGGTATAGTCAGCTGGTGCCATTGCTGACTATTGGGGGTGAATCTCTGCCCCCCACAGAGAGGGCTCGCAATCTGGGTGTCCTCCTGGACTCACGGCTGTCTTTAGAAGAGCATATGATGGCCGTAGCCAGAGGGGCTTTTTATCAGGCTCGCCTGATCCACCAGTTGCGTCCCTTTCTGGACCGGGACGCCTTGCGCACGGTCACTCACACCCTTGTCACCTCCCGTCTGGACTATTGTAACACTCTCTACATGGGGCTCCCCTTGAAGAGCACTCGGAGGCTCCAACTGGTCCAGAATGTGGTCGCATGGGTGGTTATGGGCGCACCTCGTTATGCCCATGTAACACCTCTCCTGCACGAGCTGCACTGGCTCCCAGTGGTCTTCTGAGTGCAATTCAAGGTGTTGGTCACCACCTTTGAAACACTCCATGGCATAGGACCAGGATATCTACGGGACCGCCTTCTGCCACAAACAGCCTCCCACCGACCAGTTCGCTCCCACAGAGAGGGACTCCTCAGGGTGCCATCAGCCAAGTTATGTCGGCTGGCGACACCCAGGAGGAGAGCCTTCTCTGTGGGAGCTCCTGCCCTCTGGAATGAATTGCCCCCGGATATTTGTAACATTTCTGACCTCCGGGTTTTTCGCTGCGCCCTCAAGACCCTACTGTTTTAATTTTGGGTTTTAAAATTCGGCCAAAACTATTTAATGATTTTAATTAATTTTAACTAGATATTATATATTTGTATATTTGTATTTTAATTTTGGCTGTACACCGCCCTGAGTCCTTCAGGAGAATGGGCGGTATATAAATAAAATAATAATAATAATAATAATAATAATAATAATAATAATAATAATAATTATTATTATTATTATTATCTTTCTTTGAGAGTTCAGCAAATTCACATCATTGAATTGTGAGGCTACACCTCTAAGGTGACTCTCATGCCACCAGTCTAGACCATCCTATCACTTTCTAGCTCTCCTAAGAGGAAAAGATTGAAATGAATTAGCGGAAAATTCTCCAAATTTCCCGTTTGTTTATTTGTCACTCCTTCTACTAATACGACTATATAGCATGAATCTGCAAATACCACATCAGCCTAATCCCATACACACACAAAAAAACCTTTGCAATTTTTGAAGTACAAAGTATTATTTTTAAAATGTGGCTTTTATATGACTTAACAAGAAAAGGTTCTTCTCAAAATCATTTATTTCTGTTTCTTGCTTATTTAATGTGGCAGGAAAAGAACTGCGAATGGTTGCAAGCTGACTTGTACCATTTACTTGTGGCATTATAACACAATTTTAAGCTAATTGAATTTTCTGCTTGGAATGGGGACTGGATAGAATTTATTCTCATTAAAACCCTAATAGCAGCCAGCCAACAGCTATACTGTAGGGACTCATATCTTGTATTGTTCACTGGGATTAAAACTGTAGTTGGTTATTACAAGATTCATGTATGTAGTAACTGTTAATTACTTATCTTTATACTTTTAGCAAAATCTCTGTGTTAACAGATAGACATAATAGAACAAACAGAAAGCCCCCATTTCTCGAAAGCATTTGCTAAAATATCCCAATTGGTGCTCCGTCATCCTGAAGTTGATGTGTGTGTGTTGGGGGGGGGGTTGTGAGATTAAAAACAGCAAGTGGAATACAGACTACATATTTTATACATCTCATGAGAATGGCATCTTCAAAGCATCTGGGGAAGTGGACAACTTGGAAAAACAACTTCTGAACTGGAATATGAAAAATTGGTTAGTAATAAATGAGAAAAAAATCTCCAAATGTTGAAGTGATCAGTGTGTGTGTGTGTGTGTGTGTGTGTGTGCGTAATAATTAAGTGGCAGAACTAACAAAGTAAGGTCTAACCTTCCTTCAGTCTAGGGAATTTGATCCAAAGTATAAGTCTAGATATTGAGGGTTTCTCTCTCTCTCTCTCCCCCCCCTCTCTCTCTCTCCCTCCCTCCCTCCCTCATAACTAATAATTAACTCATGCATTCTGTTCAATATTGAATGATTTAAGGCAATTTTGTTTTAAAATCAGGAAGGAAAAAAATGGAAGCAAAAGCAAAACAAAAAGCAAAATCATTTGCTTCTTACCAAAAACAAAACAAAACAAAACAAAAAACCAATTGCTTTTGAGTTTTTAAGACACCTTGTTTTAAAATAGGAATGAAAAATAACAATTTCAGTCAGAGACTTTAAAAAGGTTTACAACCTTGATGCTGATGAAAACTTAAGTTACTTACAGGGTAAAAATACTACATAATCCAAAAGCTAAATAAGAAATAGGCAGTGAATCCAGCAAGCAACACAAGCAAAAACAACTTTCTAAATCCCATCAGGCTGGGAGCCATGAGGCTCTCAGTGAAAACCTCAGTGCAGAAGATTAGCACCTATAATTGTGTTTTTCCACATTCTCTTGAATGTGTAGATCTGGACTTAGGGGAGAGATTTGGGCCTTCATCAGTTTGCTTGACCATTGTCAGTGGGGTTGAGATTATATTAAAGTAATGATAGCCACTTTATAGATTAAATGTGCTTCTTCTTGCCTAAAAGAAGCAAATTTATCTTTATTGAAGAAATTATCTCTTGACATGGAAAACCAGTTTTAAATGTTTCATTTTGGGAAGAAAATTTATCAAGAGGATGATGGCCATAGAGTCCCATATGCATCTGAATAACACTAATTTTCAATATTCAATTCAATATTCAACTTTGGTTATTCTGAGAGCTGCTGATTGCCCATTCAAGTTTGACATAGATATTCAAGATCTAGGAATAAAATGGGGTCTTCTCAGCCAGTCTTTCAATCCTTAAAAAAAAAAAGACTACAGTGATTAAGTAACTGGCTATGTGATGGTAAAGATGGGATTTGAGGATCACATTCTGAACTATTGACATGATACATGATTTATAAAAAGATGTTAGAGTCACAAAATTTTATAAAAATAGCTAGCTGGAAAAGCTTTAAATTAAGTGTTCTGTTGGTGGATATAAAAGCCATGTGATAAGGACCTCGGATAAAAACCTGGGTGCAGTGCTGTTGCTGTTAAACCACTAAAAATAAAAAAGGAAAGCATGACATCATAAAGTTCACAATATTTATAGTAATACTCATAATATGAAAACTGAACAAGATAAACTTTTAGTATAGAAAGGGAAATATGATTATTATTAAATAAACTAATGCAGGAGGTGAAATTTTATTTAATAAGCTTATCCACCCAGTGGGGTGACTCCCATTCTTGAACACAATTTGTTCAGAAAGAATAGATATATAAAAAGGGCAGATGAGTTAGAAATATTTGAAATTCAAATGAATGAACTTGGCAATATTGTGACTGCAGTGAGTATCTGCATTTAATTAAGTACCGGCAGAAATAAAAGGACTAATATTGTTGGTGTCTATTCTTGCACATCCACCCAAGGAATAGAATGGGATGATTCTTTCCAAGAGCAAATTGCAAATCTTTCAAAGAGGTATAAAATAGTTGTGATGGGAGACATGCATCAACCTGACATCTGTTGGGAAACAAGTTCTGACAAGGATAATCTTCCTAAGAAATTCCTAATTGTGTTTCTGATAAAGTTCTCTTTCGGAGGAAGGAGGGAAACACAAGAGGATAAGCTCTCCTTGATTAAAACATTAGCCACTAAGACATTGTCAACAAAATGGAAGTAGTAGAACAATGAGGACAATTACCATGTGTTGCTGGAGTCCTTGAATTTAAATAAAGTCAAAGCTGATTGTAGTTATCAAAATCTCCTTATACTTCCCGAAAGCAAATTTAATGAACTCAGAGCAATGATAAATACAATCCCATGGCTGGAGCAATGGGCTCTGATGAGAAAAAGTGGACGTTGGTGGGGTGCCTAAAAAGAGATTATTTATTTATTTATTAAATTTATATGCCACCCAATTGACTCTTGAAAAGTGACTCAGGGTGGCTTACAGTTAAAATGATAAATATTAAAATATTAAAAACATACATTACCAGGACAAAAGGCAAGATCAATATGATGGTAGCATCTTCTGTGTTAGTCTACCAGTTACCTCCAACATAAAGTGACCCCATTAAAACCCAAAGCCAACTAGCAAAGGAATGTTTTGATGGCCTTGCAGAAGGCCAAAAGAGTGGAGGCAGACCTCACCTCAGGTGGCAAATATTCCAAAGAGGAGGGGCTATGGCAAAAAAAAAAAGAGAGAGAGAGAGACTCCTGCTAAACCTCGCCAGCCAAAACTCTAACTGATGAGGCCTGCAGCATTCCCCTTCTGGTGGATCAAGTGGTACAGACTGATACTATTAGGGCAGGGCAGTTCCTCAGATAACAAGGCGACCTGATCCTGTGCCATGAAGGTGATAAGCAACACCTTGAATTGGAACTGCCACCCAATACGGCTGGTGTAACAGTGGTGTTGCATGCCCCATCCTAGGGAAGGTCAAGCCTATCCACAGCATTGCATTCTGTGCCATTTTTAGCTTCCAAATATTCTTCAAGGGAGGGATGTCAAACTCGATTTCATTGAGGGCCACATCAGGGTAGTGTTTGACCTTTGGGGGCTTGGGTGGGCATGGCCAGCTCGATGTCACTCATGTTGGGGGCACCTGTGGTGGCCTGAGCACTCTGCCAGCAAAAATGGGCTCCCAAGCTCCATTTTCAGCTGGGACTGCAGCCCTCTGCCAGCGAAAACTGAGCCCAGAAGGGCCATGCACATTTTTGCTGGCAGAGGCATCATGGGCCAATCCTTCGCTGTTTCCAGGGCAGCCCTGTGGGCCAGATCTAAGCACCCCATGAGATACTAAAAGCATGGTTGTACACCATGGTGGCTCAGAAACTCTGGGAATTGAAGTCCACAAGTCATAAAAGGGCCATAGTTCCCCACCTCTCTTGCAAACAATGCCAGTAAGTGGGGGAAATAACAAAAGAAATCAACATGGTTCCAGATGAAACTTAGTGGATACCTTTTAAAAAATGCCCAACCAGTGGCCATTATTATAGCTGCTAAAGGATTCCAAAAACAAATGATACATTCCACTCAGAAGCTAATGGCCAAGATTCTGGAACTTTTGGCCAGTCTATTTCTTTCCTAACTTGGTGTCTCTTGTATTTTTTTTAATTTTCTTCCCAAATATTCTCCCTATTGTGAATTTTACCAACGTCCATCTGACTGCCATGCTCATAAACTCATGAAATACTATTTTGAGGATTTTGTATACAGGGAGGGAGGGAGGGAGGGAGGGAAGAAGGAAGGAAGGAAGGAAGGAAGGAAGGAAGGAAGGAAGGAAGGAAGGAAGGAAGGAAGGAAGGAAGGAAGGAAGGTAGGTAGGTTAGGGTTAGGATATAGCATGCAGAGCTTGTTAATAAAAGAGAGACTGGGGTTTTTTTTCCAACAATAAGGGTATGCCATATGCCAGATGTACACAGCATGATCATCTAACTAATAGGATTAGCTAAATAGGAACCCTTTGGGTTCGTGGCAAGTATCCCACTGCCAGCTCTCAGTCCCCTCCAAGAGTGGAAACTATAGCATCTGTGCCTTAATTTGTTTGAACTACAAGAGCTCCACCTGAAAATCCCTTTTAAAACCCTTTTTATTTTTAAAAGGAGAGATTGTTCAAATAATTCCCCTATCTTTCTGTGCTACTCTTTGACTGCCAACTGGGAAAATCTCAAGGGATATTAAACAAGAGCTGTACACACCTAACAGTGAGAAGGGTAAATAAAAGAATGACATCAACTTTGGCAACAGTTCTTGCCACTGAATTTAAATTGGCTGACACATTTTAAAACTCATGCAGCCGTGTTTAGTATTCATAATAAAAATAGCAATAATGAGGGATCTCTTTTTTTGAAAACCAGGAATAAATTATCCTTGGCATTTGACCTTCCTTCAACTTTTTTAGGTTCTAATCAGGGGTGAAATGCTACTGGTTCGCACCAGTTCGGGTGAACCGGTAGTGTTAAAAGCTACCGGTTCGGGCAAACCAGTAGTAAATAACAGCTACTGGTTCATCCAAACTGGTATTTCCGACTATCAGCTGTGCCACACGATTTATATTCACTAGAAAGCAGGAAATCCTGCTTTCTAGCAAATCTAAATCACGCGGCACAGCTGTTCCCCTCCTCACTGTTCTAGTTACGCTGTTAAGCCTCCTTTTTCCATGCGAAGAACGCGTTTGGTGCACACTGTAAAATAAGGTGACCAGACGTCCCGCTTTTGGCGGGACAGTCCCGCTTTTGAGCAATTTGTCCCGCGTCTCGCGGCGTTTTAAAAAAGTCCCGATTTTTCATTCTGCCTCCTGAGTCCCAGCTGCCTCCTGAATCCCCGCTGATGGCTAGAGGGAAAAAAAACTCTTTAAACTCTTGCCGCGGGGCTTCAAAGGGCCGACCTACAGCTGATCAGTGTTAAAAAAAAATGAATAGACCCATGCCTGCAAAAATAGAAAAAACAGCCCCTGTTAACAGCTTCCGCTAGGTTAATTAGCTGCAAAAAGCTGCAAAAAGTTCCTGGAGCAGATTTTTTTCCCCCTAGCTATACTGAAAACAAAGGCGAAAGCGAAACTAAACCTGCAATGTGAGAAAATGAGGCAGAGAGAGATTTCTTTCTTTTTCTTTTTCTTTTTCCTCACCAAAAAAGGTAGGTACAAAACTGCAAACAATGGGAAATTTTGGGCAAAAGAGGAGAGTTCAAGATTTTAAAACACAAAAGAAAAAAAGCTCTATTTAACTAGGGAATTGTAATAATTGAGATACTATTAATAATTGTATATTGTGTTGAAAGCAGAAATGGTTAAGTTGTGGTTTGGAGGAATATATGGGGGAAATTATTTGGTTTATTATTATTGGTAAATATAATTAATTGATTTGTAAGAAATTGGATTGCATGGAAATAATTGGAATATTCATGTTCATATTGATTAATATACAAAAAAGATAGTTATATAACTAATTGATTTATATTAAAATGTTGAATTTGTATTAAACAACTGTATTACATAATTACATAATTAACCAATGTGAGGATGGATATAAAAATAGATGACAATGGGAAGGGGTATAATATAGAATAGAAGGGAAAAATTGAATTTGATTAAGATTAGAGATGAGGATGAAGGGTAATATTGTTTTTTTAAAAAAAATAGATGAGGAATAAATATGGCAAAAAGGAAATATAGAAATTGTAAATTTAATTGAAATGACTAAACGCTGTTTAAATTTGTGAACCAGCCAAATATTCTGTTCAAAGAAAATACATTGTATGTTTGTATGTGTGTTTCTAATTATTGCCATTTATTCATATTTGTTCTCTTTTATTCTTTAAAGTTTAACAATTCATTCTTAATCTTAATATCTTTATATTTGCTTGGGGTTGGCTTTCTTCCCTTTTATCTTTTTTATTGTACAGCAATCTTTCTCCTCAAACCTACCACCACTCTCTTTTCTTTCCTTCTTACTTTCTCTTTCCCCCACCCTCTTTTTCTCCTCCCTACTTCCTCTTCCTTTCTCCTTCTCCTCCTCTCTTCCTCCCTCTCTTACCCTCACTCCTACTCTAATTTCCATTCCTTCATCCCTCTCTATTGCTGTATCCTTTAATGCATATGGACTACTCAGAGGGCTGAAAAAGTTATTTTTGACTGGTCCTCACACTTTTGACCAGTCCTCGAATTTACGACTGTCCTCACATTTTACATTTTTGCCCTATCTTGTCACCATGGTGAAGAGAAGCAGTTGTGAAATGAGTGACATGGTTGTTAAGAATGCTGCATGGGCATAAATATGAGGATGGTCATAAGTGTGAGGACCAGTCAAAAGTGCGAGGACCTGTCAGAAATGACTTTTTTCAGCCCTCTGGTTAGTCCTTTTGTGCATATGGACTACTCAGAGGGCTGAAAAAGTTATTTTTGACTGGTCCTCACACTTTTGACCAGTCCTCGAACTTACGACTGTCCTCACATTTTACATTTTTGCCCTATCTTGTCACCATGGTGAAGAGAAGCAGTTGTGAAATGAGTGACATGGTTGTTAAGAATACTGCACGGGCATAAATGTGAGGATGGTCATAAGTGTGAGGACCAGTCAAAAGTGTGAGGACCTGTCAGAAATGACTTTTCAGCCCTCTGAGTAGTTCCTATACACATAGCCATGGCCACCCGGTCACATGACCAGCTAGCCACGCCCACCCAGTCACATGACCAGCTAGCCACGCCCACCCAGTCACATGACCAGATATCCACGCCCACAAAATAAGCCACGCCCACAATGTCCCTCTTTACCAATGTTAAAATCTGGTCACCTTACTGTAAAAGCGCATGCAGCGTGCTTTTGGCGCGCACTGTGGATGCATGTGCACGCAGCATGTTTTTGGTGTGCACTGCACATATGCGTGAGCAGCACACCTTTGCCATGCACTGTGCATGTGCGGGCAGCAAACCAGTGGCAATCTGTGGAGGATTTCACCACTGGTTCTAATATATGTTTCTGGGGGAGGGGGGGAATTGAATTTGAAGCTTTGAAGCCATGTCTCTATTCTAGACATTTTATTTGGAGGAGATGATACCATATGACCTTTTTAAAGATAATCTGCAGGTCAGGATTTCCAATTTACTTATTTGGATTTTTTAACCCACTCTTCAGCTCAATATCCCTACCTAAAAGCCAAAAACAAAGAGGAAATCTCTGCTTCTCATCTTGCAGTCTAAACGATCCATCACAAAATAAATGAGGGAAAGAACTGGAAAGAAAAACTGCAGATAAAAGCTAGAAACTAGACAAAAAAACCAACAACCCTGAGATTTGCATATTAACTATTATAACCTCCAGTCAAA